TCAGGTGCGCCGCCCTTGGATACGGACCTCCTCGGTGTCAGGTATGGTACGTTTGTTCAGTTTGGCGTCCTGGAGGCGAAGTGCTGGAGTGGTGAGCGAGGTGAAGTCTTGAGTTCGGATAGGGGAGTGTCTTGAACTGCCATGAGACGGGCCAGTTCGGGTCATTGCCTTGTGTGAGGCTCGGGGCCTAAGGGAGAGTTCGGGCTCCTTGTAGGGAGTTCGGACTGCTGGGAGGGAGTTTGGACTGCTGGTAGGGAATTCAGACTGCTGGTTCCTCGCTTTGGTGCTCGCGTTCTGGGCGCACTATTGTGCCGAACTATTTGCCTTTGCCACGTGTTGAGTGATTACGAGGTCAGACCAAATCTTCCTTCGTCAAGAGGTATTATGATTTTATGAAATTCTATGGAGTAAATTGATGATAGCTGAATGCTTTATATTTCTTTACCTAGAATGTTAACTAGCTTCCAATACCAAAGAAAAGGGGCTAAAGAATGTTTTTCCTATCAATGTTAATTATTTTCCAGTTACGAATATCTGAGATAATTTTCCGTTCCATAAGTCCAACACTGCAATCTCTTAATATTCATTAAAGAATTGGCTGCTGTTTAAAGAGTTTCACCAGCCTAGGCATAGAAGCACCCCTATGAATAGTTTGAGCTTTGTGACCCTAGAAGGCAGAAATGGTAGCAATGAAAGTGTTAGGATCAGCTGAATGATGGGTGCACATACATGATTTTATTCTGAAAATGCTTTCTTTCTCCATTTCAGCTGCTAGAACATATTGAATTCTAAAACCGACTTGAGCAAAATTTATATTGAATGCTACCATTAACGTGTACAACCCTGATAGATTCGAATTAGTGCATATTTGATTGCACTGCAACAATAATGGATATATCCATAACTTGCAAATATCATTAAAAGAATCATAAAGTTAGAAGGCATCACTCTTGGTTTTAAACTCTGATAGATATCTAAATCTGATGGGCATCTCCATCTCTTATATAGGCACCCCTGTAAAGGCATCAGAATGTTAATATTTTCCTTGGAAGGTATCAGATAAGAAAACCGTTGTGAAGAACAGTTGCTGAAAACATGAGCTTCAAAATGGAAATATGAGAACACTTCTCAGTCAAGAATAACCTCCAGTGAAGAACAGTTGCTATTAAAACGGATGGAATATTCCAAGAATGGAATATACTGACCGTTGCAATCGATAGGGTTTAATGATGTTTTAGGGGTAATTTCATAAAGTTGATGTTTTCCGTCTAGGTCATTGATGGAAGGGAGGTTTTTGTCCAATTATTTAAAAATTTAGGAGAAATTTTTACTAAAATAAAATTATAAAGGAGGTTTTTATGATTGTCAGAAACTTCAGAGAAGGTTGATTTCATCCTGTAACTATCAATTGAAAGAAATAAAAATAATTAGAAAAATATTCCCAAACAAAACCCCCTTTTGTCCATTTCCTCCCTTTCTTTAACCAAATTTCATTATTTTTATTATTATCATGTCTAAATGAAAAATATAAGAAATCTCTTCTATTCAAACTGACGGAAGGGGTAACTTTGTATGATTTCTTCAAGATGTGGAGGCAGTTTTTTTGTAAAGGTCAAAATTCAGGGGTTGCTAAAGGAGTTGTTGGAAAACTACAAGTGAGTTTTAAGTAACTCACCTTGTTTTTGGTAGGTGTTAAATGTTTGTGCATTAAAAGACTGAGGAGAGGAGAAGAGTCCAAGTCTAACTCCTAACACGACCAACTCCCTGTTTTTGCCACCGTTTTCTAATCAATCCGCCACCAACCCCACACGCATATGAAACCCAAACCAAAATTTTCTTTCTTCACCTAAACCTCCGCACCAGAAACAATATAAACGCTAAGCAAAAACAATATAAATTCATCTAAACCTGCAACTACCCATTAAGGACAAGGGGACTCTCATCAGGTCCATAAACAATTTCTTCGTTAATGGCGGTGGTAACGCCGACGAAATCTACGTCTCTGGTGCCTTATTCTTCCCGTTTATCCAACTCTCAACTAAATTTGGTCAGTTTTAGAAAAACCCATTTGAGATTTCGCTCTCAGTTGCACACAAGAGCCATCATCACATGGGAGAAATCCCAACATGGTAAGGAGAAGACAAGGAGAGCGGATCAGTGGCTGAGAAATGGAGAGGACAAGAAGGCGACAGGAGGAGGGCTTACGAGGTGCAGGGCGGAGGGAGTTGAGAGAGGATTCTTGGTGGGAGGAGGGTGCGAAGGTTGGCTTCTTGGCGTGCCGGAGAGGTTGAAGGTGGTCGTTCTTGTGGCGTTCGTTATGTGTCTCTGTAATGCAGACCGAGTTGTGATGTCTGTTTCTATCGTTCCTCTCGCGGTCAGACATGGTTGGAGCACCTCCTTCCTGGGTATCGTTCAGGTAACTACAAGCTTTTTGTCAGAAATTTCTGTACTGCTTCTGTTTTTTTTTGCTTTTCCTCTTTTTTGTCATTTCTCGTTTTTTTTTCGTGTTTTTCTTGATGATTTTCAATCTTTTTATATTTTTCGTCGGCTATTTTTGCCTTTTTGGTGAACAAAACCAACAAATTAGTATATACTTTCTCTCTTTTTTATTTATTTTCCATATGTAAAAATAACAAAGGCTCCGCTTGGGACAAAAATGCTGTAGCCCATTCTATAGTTAATATGGGGCTAGGCAGATCTTTTCTTCTATGACACTCCACCAGATTGGGCTAAGGGATTTATTTCTTCGCCCTAGACAACGTTATAATAAGCAGCTAATTTAATTCTAATTTCTATCTTTTGCCAAAATAAATATACAATAAAGGAAATTGGAAACTGTTTTAGCTTTGTATTCATCAGACTGAAATCCACTTTTTTTTTTCTTTTTTACATTTACAAAGTCTGTATCCATTTTTTATGTATTGGACTCATGTTTCTACTTGCAAATTTGGATTTAATTTTGTAATTTTTATTGATGGGAAGATATTTTCAATACATAGTTTCAAAGGGCTGTGAGGAATGAATTCGAATTCCCCACTCACAATGGGATTGCAAGAACTAATTCTACATTATACAAAGATGACATCCAGTCACACACTAAGAACATTTTCTCATGAATTTAACATCCCCAAATGTAAAGCTGAATGCCATATGCGTTGAGTTTTGATTGCAAGGGCTTTGGCCTTTTTGCACTCTTCTCAAACAGAGTCAGAAGGAAAGAAAATGATTATAGGGGTGTTTGGTTCTATTTATGTTTATTGAATAAATATTTTGTATTTGTGTGATTATAAAATCGAGAAAATCAATTAATGAGGGCATTTATGACACATAGGCGCCATTAGGGACTACATCAGCAAAGTGATAATAAAAGCCTACCGCCCCATTGCATCAATACATATAGATGCAATTAATGAGGCCTTTGTTGATGGGATACCTGTGGCACCGTTTACTCAATTAATGTAAACAGAACCAAACACATACTATAAAAGACCATTATTGATTAATTGATTGTGTAACAGGCCATTGAACCAATAATAGTGTTCCACATCAGTGATAAATTATAAAGGCACACATTGAGAGGTTAAAAGATTATGGGCGTTATGTATTTTATGACTGGTGTGAAGCCTAATCATTGATTATACTGAATTCACATCATTCCAAATGGCCAATTGATGGCCCCTGTTTGGCTTAAGGATGGTTGTATTGAATTCACATCTACACCCCACAAAGGTGCCCAAAAACGCTCCACAGCATATCCAATCGTGTATGAAAACACCTCCCACTGACACGGTGAGATGTGCATTTAGAGCGTTGGTGGGTTCTCGGTTGTATTGTATTTATATGATTTTTCATTGAAATTATTTATTATTCGTCTATCGTTTTCATTGAAAATATAATTTTTCGTTCTTTATAACATCGTTCCAGTTTTTGTTCTGTAGAAGTGGAAACAGAGTCTGGGTTCTGAAAACGAAAAAAAGCTCTCTCTCTCTGCATAAGAAAGAGACAGAGTGCACTCCCTCGCGACCCTCAGTGAAATACAATACGAATACATCAGCGATGGAAAATCGCAGCAAATGTGAACTCGACAAGACCGTCTTTTTCGTTCTAAAAATTAAACTTGTCTTGAAAAGCTGAATTTTAAACCTAAACTGATTAGTGATTACGAAACCACGTTAATTTGTACTTGTTTTATTTCGTAGGCACGTTAATTAGTTTAATTAGTAGTTTTTGCTCGTGGTCGTGGCGGCCCAAATTGCACCCTAGATGAAGTGCCCGTTTGGCACTCGGCAGGGTGTTTATGTCAAGGTGGGCTCTACACGAAAAGCCTTTTTTGAGGGGTAGTAAGTCCCACACGAAAAGCCTGGAGGCTACATTTGGTGAAAAGCTTGGAAAGTCCATTATGCTTTAATTTAGCCGAGACTTTTTAGGAAACTTGTTTTAATTTAGTAGATTCACTCGACCAAAGCAGCTCAATCAAAAATGACCCCACCCAAACAGGCCATAAAGCAATACGTCACATGGGATGGTTAGAACTTGGACGAGGCTCTGATTTTCAGTCTACAAGCAAATAAGAGCCTAAAACCATGCAACCATTTAAGATTTTTTGCACGGTTGCACCTGGACGCATGGTTTTTGAACCACTGTTGATCCGTAAGGTCGGACCATTTGACCGGGGATTCATTCAGGCAATCAGTTCTGTTTTATCTCAAACCTGCTTTTTGGTAAAAAATCGTTGAACTGGTTAATGATTCGTTGATTCGGGCCGTTGAACCATCGACCCATTCAATGTTTTTTTAGCCATTTTTATTTTTTTAGTTTTTGTTGTCTGAACAAGCTGTCCGTTTGACTGGGCGGTTGAACCATCAACCAGAAACCGGTGGCCAGAATGGTTTCGTTTCCAGGCCATTTTTTAAAACCATGCCTAAACGGCATGTTTTGAGGATTTTTTTTATTCATTGGTTTTGGTAACTTTTTTTTTAATGCATTGGCCTATTGGGTATCTACCTTTCCAAATGCTGATAAACAATTTGTCAGATTCGGATCAGAAAAGACCGATTTAGTTACTGGGTCATGAGCAAGTTAAATATCGATACGCCCGATATGCCGGTAGGGGCATATCGGCCCTTTTTTTTTCAAAACCGGTTCAGGGGGCCGGTTTAAGGCTCTTCTACCCCCTGAACCGGTCAGAACCCCGATACACCCTCTATAGGGGCATATCGGGGTGCTCCCGATATGATACGTATCAGCCGATACGAGCCAATACTTGTCGATACTTTGAACCTTGCTCAAGTCATGCTCAAATATATAATACATATTATATGATATTTATATTTTTAAAAGCCAGATGGCCATTGTCTACATTTGGTTGTAGTGTTTATTTTCATTAATACAAATGCATGGTAATGCAAACGAAAAGAATACATTTGGTTGTAGTGTTTATTCTACTGACAGGTTTTATTTTACTTAATTTGTACTGCAATCAAATATAATAAGGTAAAATTTAAACAAAAAATAAACCAGAATTTGCACCTAAATCATTTGCATTATCATAGTTTTTCATTAGTGCAAATAGATTAGCACTCCAACCAAATGCAATTCATACTTGCAACTCAGGTTCAAGTCACCTTATTTACATCTTAAACATAAAACATAGATATTATATAGACATATATAAAGTTGTATGTGGTTCCATGGTTTTTGCCAATTTTTAGTGAAAAGTGCAAGTTGAATTCAAATCCACTTAATGTTGATTTTACATTTTAGTGACAACAGAAAATATTGGCCTGAGTGATTTGTTAAAATTGGATAATTTTCAAAAATCGTCAATTTTCACTAACTCCCACATATTCGTGTCTTTTATTCTCTTAAGTGAAATATATGGAACAATTGAGCTTTAGCTGGGTATGTGCATCAAAGATATTCATTCAACGCATCTGAGCTCTGCTGATATTTGTAAGTTCTTCAGGCAAAACAAGCCCAGCTCATTGGATAGCTGAAGAGGTCTGAATACTTGTGATGCATCCTAGTAGTAAGCGAATATACACTTTAACAGCCGTTAATGAAAGCATGCATGTAAATGTTAGATGGGTCTCATCTTGAGGGGTAGTTATCAGGTTGTGTGATGGTTGATTAACAAGGATAACATGATTTCATATCAAGGACTAGTGTACATGGAATTCAACTTCTTATCATTTGTCTCTTTAGTTTTCTCAGTTTTATGTTATTAGTTCTGTAGTTAAACTGCCTTGATCCATGAATTTTATTTTATTTTATTTGATGAGTATATCCATGAATTTTCTCTTCTCTAATGCTAATATGGGAAATGGATTTTACATTTCAAGTCATCATTTCTATGGGGATATGTCTTCTCATCAGTCATTGGAGGAGCATTGGTGGACAGATACGGGGGAAAGAGGGTAATGGCATGGGGTGTGGCTGTGTGGTCAATGGCCACACTTCTTACACCATGGGCTGCTGATCACTCCATTGGCATGCTATTAGCTACTCGTGCAATCTTTGGGCTGGCTGAAGGTGTAGCTCTGCCTTCCATGAATACTCTATTGTCCAGGTAATGTTAAGGGCTGATCGTTACTTGTGAAAAGTTGTTACACAAGAACATAACTTATCCTCTTAGCTGATGTAAACCTGCATACAATACCATATATGCTAATAACAGATTCAATCAATACACTTTGCATTTAAAAAGCATCCAAAAACTCTGATATGATAGTTCAAAGGGTTCCATTCATGTTAGTATTTAGTATCAATAGGGTTCCACTGACCAAGTCCACCTGAACTTTAGTATTTAGCTTGAATAATATACAAAATGACAAACTCTGTGCTTATTGGTTTGTCCATAACAGGAGTTAGCTTATATATCTCATCTGTCTTCTTTATATTACCATTAGGTGGTTTCCAAACAATGAACGTGCAACTGCAGTTGGAATCTCTATGGCTGGGTTTCATCTTGGAAATGTTGTGAGTTTGCTACTAACTCCTATATTGATGTCAATGACCGGAGTTTCTGGTCCCTTCACTCTCTTCTCATCTCTTGGATTACTCTGGCTCACAATATGGGCATATGGGGTTACCAATGATCCACGAGAAAGTAATGATATCAGTAAAACAGAGTTAAGGTTGATTCAATCCGGAAAATCTGAACCCCTGGAGAACAAGAAGCAGCTTCCACCTCTGCGTCAACTACTATCTAAACTACCCGCGTGGGCAATTATTTTTGCTAATGTTACTAATAATTGGGTGAGTAATTGGTAATAATACTTTTCTCTGATAAAAAGGAAATGCTTGTATTTTTGCATCAAGAATCTGAAACATGATGTATTGTGCAGGGATACTTTGTACTTCTCTCATGGATGCCTGTGTATTTCAAGACTGTACGTATTTATTCCTCCATTGATTCTCTTTTTCTTGTGCTTTCGGTGATAACAATAGATAACATACGGTGTGTGTTTTGTCATCCATCCCTCATCCATGTGGCACTAGACACACCTGAAGAATAATTCATGGAAAAATCAGGCAAGTTATTCAGTTGGGCTGATTTGGGATGGTACAAACTGCTAGAGAGAATAAAAACCTATTCAGGGATTTCACCTAGCAGCTTAAGATTTTAGGTTGAATGGTTCTTTGACATGGTATCAGAGTCTGTTTGACCAAATGGTCCAGTGATTGATCCTCATCGCCCGCATTATAATTAATTAATAGATTGATCCTCATCGCCCCCTGAATAGGACTTCACCACATGGATTGATCCTCATCCATGTGGCACTAGACACACCTGAAGAATAATTCATGGAAAAATCAGGCAAGTTATTCAGTTGGGCTGATTTGGGATGGTAAAAACTGCTAGAGAGAATAAAAACGTATTCAGGGACTTCACCTAGCAGCTTAAGATTTTAGGTTGAATGGTTCTTTGACATGGTATTAGAGTCTGTTTGACCAAATGGTCCAGTGATTGATCTTCATCCCCCCATTATAATTAATTAATTTCAGCACAAGGTATGGATGACCCTATGCTTGTCCACACTTCAAGCCCAATGGACTTTCACATGAAGGGGCATGTTAGAGAATAAAAACCTATTTATAGACCTCACCTAACAGCTTAAACTTTTAGGTTGAACGGTCTTTGAAACAAACCATAGGCCCTGTTTGAATGATTCTGCAGCACAAACCTAGTTGACTGGTTGTTGTGTCCAATTTAGGAGTAAATTGATGGGAGGGGTGGATGTTCAAAATTCTATTTCATTGTCATTTACAGATGTTCTTACTATTGTTGAATACAGGTATTCAATGTGAACTTGAAGCAAGCTGCCTGGTTTAGTGCCATCCCATGGGGAATGATGGCACTTTCTGGTTACATCGCTGGGGCAATATCAGATTCTTTGATCAAGGCTGGCTACTCTATTACACTAGTTCGGAAGATTATGCAGGTAATCTAATCAGCACTGAAAATGGCTTTGCTGTATCTGAAACTATGAATGTTAAATTTAACTTCATTTTTGTGTGGTAAACTTGGCAGTCTATTGGTTTTATTGGGCCTGGGGTATTATTGCTCTGCTTGAATTTTGCAAAGACAGCTGATGTTGCAGCCATATTCATGACTGTCGCTCTGAGCTTGAGTTCTTTCAGCCAAGCAGGCTTTCTGTTAAACATGCAAGTAAGCATCAATTGTAGATCAAAACTATGATGATTAGATGTAGATTATAGATTGCCAGTGGTACATGGAAAGAGAACATTTGGTTCTTGATCAATCATCATCTTAGTTAGTTTACAGCAACATGTTTTGAATCTCACTACCATGGTTTGTTTTATCAGGATATAGCTCCTCAATATGCAGGATTTCTCCATGGTATGTAACTAGACCTCCACTGCAGTTAATATTTTATTACATCTAGCTCAATTATGTTTAGACCCATGAGATGATAAAGCAATCGAAAGGTCATAACAATCTGCTTTCTGCTGCTTCTCTACCTAATCACAGGGATTACAAACTCGGTTGGAACAGTAGCTGCAATAATTAGCACTATTGGAACTGGTTATTTTGTGCAATGGTTGGGATCTTTCCAGGCCTTCCTAACCGTCACAGCAGCGCTCTACTTCGTTACAACCATATTCTGGAATCTTTATGCTACAGGAGAGCGAATCTTCTAGTCTAAGATAATACAGATGCCCAAAACAATCACCATTGATGGATCTCAACTAGTCTGGAGTGTGGACACGTTGATTGGACAATTTTTTCCATTCATTTGGACAGACAAATTGATTGAAGATAGAGGAAGAGTTGCAAGTTGTAGCATGACCCCATTCCCATTGAGTGAGCAACCTCTGCATGGTAGCAACTAGCAAGCAACAAATTATTCTCTCCAAGGAATTCATTTCTTTAAATTCAAAAAAAAAGAAGAAAAATATATGTATCAATTCATTGCTTTTGTATCATTAGTGATTCAACTTCAGAACCCTAGTGGTTTAAAAGAAAAGCAGAAAAGCATTGAATATTATATATAGCATTCAAAGCATTGAAATTTTCAAGAACCCTAGAATATATTTCTGCGGAAAATGTATCTCAGGAAGTGCTTTACCTATGTTATATTATATATATATATATAGATAGATAGATAGATAGATAGATAGATAGATATAGAAATTATGGTTCATAATAGTCAGGTCTCTATAATGGATTCAATGGGTTGGGTAATTCCAGCACATATTGGCCTTTAACTTTAACCTATATTTTAGGCAGTTTTTTTTATGGAAAAGTATGGATAGACCTAATGTAGATTTCTGAATTACACTGCAGAGCTATCAACATTCAAAATGTCAAAAACACCTACTCTATACACCAATGCCCGCCCGTGAATTGGCATCAATTTTGAGCTGGCACCTACCTCAACTGTACTTTGGGCCTAAAAATTCTAACCCTGGGCTGAACGTCATTCTCCCTTTTTTTTATGATGCCATTTAGGTATAATACCCAAAAAGAAATCCATATGAATTTGAATGAATACCAGTTGATTGGTATCATATCTTATTAATTATCGGTCTTCAATGATGGATCACCTAGAATCCTAGAGTTCTGATTTACACGAACTCTCTTCACTCTTTGGCCTGTGAAGGGTGATGCAACAACCAATGCCACATTTGGCACGTCTTTTCGCATGGGATATTGTCTGTTTAAAAGCCTGACAGTCCGTATTTTTGTCTTTTCTCATTTGATTGGAGGAAGATATGTCAATAGGGCATATCAGCATGTATCGATACTTTTTTTAGGTTTTATTTATTTTTTTCAAAACCAGTCCAAAAAAATCAGTTTAAAGCCCAACTATCCTCTAAACCAGTGTATGACCTAATACAACCCCTAAAGGGACATATCAGAAATCCATTAACACAGTATAGGCTGATATGTACGATACTTCGAACCTTGGATATAGCCATCGAAAGACTCCACCTTGAAAAGACACAGGAGGCTGTTTTGAGCTATTTTCGAAAAATTTCAAGTAATACTTTTCGGCATTTTTCATCTCGTTTTCGTATGAAAAGATATGCCTCCAACCAAATTATCTGTGAACTACCAAATACTTTTCGGCTTTTTTCATCTCGTTATGTAAAAGTCCGATGCGTCTTTTTGCTAAGACTTACCAAACGCACCCAAGTTATCATCAATCTGATCAGATTGACCATCTGCTTTCTCTATGACTATATCCCACCAAATGTTGCCAGTTGTCAACAATTTAACATTATTTTAGTATAAAATGCCCCACCACGTGGTAAAGCTTTATCACTTGAAACAGGGTAGAGAAGGAACACGTGGAGTCCCTTTTCGTCTGCCATCTGTGCTAGCTGGTGAAAACTGAAAAGTGAAAACCCCCAGAGAAGAGAAACATATCATTGACTTCATAATGCTAATGCCGTCAAGATAAATAAAATAAATACCTTGACCCGGTCTTTATTCTTATAGATGTGAAATAAAACATATAAGAAGGAAATGGGAAATTGCTAATTAACATCAGATTCCAGCACATAATGTGATTGACCAGTGTAGCCTTCTGAATCACCCACTCTGCCAATGCAGAAGACATCAAATCCCCAAATTCTCAACCTGAGCAGGAGGAAGGCAAACTCCAGTTCTCGCCATTCTTTTGCATCACGCTACAATCAATCGCCTGCTTACCACGCACGCTTGAACAAGCCTCATGACGACAAGCAACAGAGTTTGAACTATTTCAAAGCTGTGGCGAGGAAAGTAAATAGCTTGGTTAGCACAATTCTCTTTCTCAGACGAAGGCCGGCCGGCAAAGGAACTAGAACCGAGGGCGGCAGCAACAGAGATGGTCACGTTAAAAATTATTCTTGTATGTTTTACTTTGTTTTATTAAAACCAGCACAAATTATATATATAAGCTTGTCTCTCATGAAAGAACAACCAAAATCCACTTTAATCAGTCATACCATTCTATCTGCAAAATACTCAAACTAAGACTGCAGGTAAAGCCAGATTGGGGAGTTATCCATGGTGGAATAGTGCAGCTAGGCAGATTTAGAAGTATATATATTCATGAATTGATGAACTGATTGGTTTTCCCTAAAAATTGCAGTTTCAATAGATGCTTCCACAGCAACCAATAATAAGAGTTCAACAATATTCAAAAGCTCTAGTTCCTATGTTTCATCCAGTAGCACAAGTACAGAGGTAGGGGAAATAAAGTTCTCCATAGAAGAGATTTACAAGGCTACGGAAAACTTCTCCCCAGCAAACAAAATAGGGCAAGGAAGATTTGGAAATGTCTATAAGGGGAAACTCAAGGATGGATCTATTGTTGCTATAAAGCGTGCTAAGAAGGTAAAACAAATATCTTATGCAAAAAAAGTGAGCAACAAGTCAACAACTATATTCCCAGTAGGCAGAAAATTGTGCCTTTGCCACTACACTGTATATGTGTCAAGTACATGCCAATCCAGATAAATTATATATTGCAGGGCACCTACTGGATGGGGCATATTTGAGAGATCATATTGATCAGACAGTGCTATCCGTTTGAGCACCAGAATGAGCAAAAAACTTTGCAATAATACAGGGACTTCAAGTTCTAAAAAATGGTCAAAGTCTTGGACGGATGATAGTTTTAGGAGCCCTCCACTTATATGGGGATAGAACTCTCCCTCATCCAAGAGGTAGCCTAACATCTGGGCAGTTGCAATTTGACTCGTCAAGGTGCCACATCTACAGTAAGGCAAGGACACAAGTTTTCTGCATCAAGACACAGATCAGAGGCCCGAAGTTAAAAAATATCCAATGTTGGATGATATTACTATTGAAAATTTTGAGAACACTGTTGGAAGCACAAATGTAAGATATCTTACCATTGATTCATGATGGTTTGGAATTTGTGGCAGACGTATGACAGGCATCTACTGGCAGAGTTTAAGAATGAAATCCAAACCCTATCAAAGATCGAGCACCTAAATTTGGTAAAGTTTCTTGGGTATCTGGAGCAAAAAGATGAACAAATTATTGTGATTGAATATGTTAGCAATGGAACACTGCGGGAACATCTGAATGGTAAGTCCAGTTACACACTTACACCTCTATCTGAGTGGATAGCATAACTACACAAGCAGGTAGTCTATACACATTCATATATTTCAAGCTTTTTTTAAATAAATAAAATCTCTTATTTGCAATTTATATATTCATATAAAAAATAAACAAGGAAACTACTTTTTCAGAACTTGCACATCAAAACAAGAACTATTAAATTTGTTAAGCTTGTGTCAAGTTTTCCAAAATATTTGCCTTCATCTAATCTCAGAACATATAGCCAACCCCATAACAAGGCATAGATGGTGATGATGATGATGATGATGATGACGACGATCTAGTCTCAGAATTCTTGGGCTATTTAAACCATTTATCAGAGACATTAGGGTGGTAGTTAATTTTTTTAGCATAGGCTTAACATTTCAGCAATAATTGAAATTGGGGAACTGTGCAATAGTCTCAAAAGCTCTACCTTTGTAGATTGGATTTTGATAAAAATGGTATGGTATTACACAGGTTCACGAGGAGATTTGGGTATTGCAGAACGGCTTGAGATTGCAATTGACGTAGCTCATGCAATTACCTATCTGCACATGTATACAGGCAAGAACTCCAAACCTAACTTTCCATATGCATTTGTCATGCAGATTTTAGTCAGAGATGAATGTCCATCTGATAAATCATAGGAAAAAGGTTATTAATAATAGGGATTAGTGGATATGCTTCTGAATTTTAAATGCAGTGTTTAGAAACATGGGCGTTTTTCAAAATTTTGTTTTTGAAAAATCAAAAGATAACTTTAAACAGAAACTACTAAGACCAGGAGTTGGCAATGGCCCCCTAACCACCCCCACCAAAAAAAAGAAAAAAAAAATGGTTTTAGGAGATCTATTGAATCTCATTGTTGGTCCACCAGACAGGCATTTTAAAATACTTTGGTATCTTACTCACCCCCATCCCCCAACAAAGGGGGGAAAAAATAAGCCCTCCAAAATTTTAAGAACTCAAGGCTCAGCTTGGAAAGAGTACAAAACTACAAATACAAATATGTACAATACAAATACATACAAAACAATACAAAATACAAAGTTTTGCACTCTACATATTTGTATTTGTAATCCTTCCAAACTGAGCCTAAAGGAATCGTGAAACTTTTTTTTGATCAATAAGGAGTCATGAAACTTTGATGCATCATATAGTTCATAGTTCATAGATGCTATTAATTGGTTAACAAATTACAACAAGGCCCTGCCCCTCCAAATTTATAGTAGTAACCATACATGGTCAATGGTTACTATTAGATAGCTAACAAAAAAAACAATCCACCTTCCATATCTACCACTGATTATTGGTTTATGAAAATATAGAACACTTGCTTTCCATTACACAAACACAGCACATGCATTTCCAAAACACGTCTAGCAAATTAAGGGATCCCCCCCTCCCTCCTTTCCCTTTTGTATAACTAATCACTATGTAAAGTTTTCTTATAGATTAATTACTATGTAAAAGGTTGAAGATGCCCACCATTTTATTCTTCTTGTGCACTACTTTGGGACCTTGTAATCCCTTGAAAGTTATTTGTTTGCAGGAATGCAACATCTACTTGTTTATGGGCCATATATATTGTTGTCTTTGTTGAATCCCACATTATAATCTTGCCATTCACAACTTTTTGCAGTATTAATCAAAGCACAAAATTGCTTAAAAATGTTTAATTAACCAAAAGATAGGTTGAATCCATCCCAGAAAACCCAACAATCACCTATGCTTTCTTAGAAAAGTAAACCTTTTCTAATATAAACTAAAGGTTCAGCAGCACAGCACTTATCTATGTGGAATGATGTACATAAGTCTAATTTCATTATCTGTCAGAAAGGTATGTATATTGCTACTTAATACTACAGATTTTATGTGTTACCTTCTTTAATATGTATTTACTATGACCTAGGTAATATAGGTTTAATAGTTTTTTTATAAATTCAATTTACTTAACACTACAGATTTTACAGTATATCTTAAGATGGCCAACTCTATTTTTCATTAGATAACCTCAACTGGGAAATTTATTCGACATATAATAAAAACTAAGAGAAGGAAAAAGTTATAGATATATGGTGCCATGGAAAGTTTTGGTAGAATACTAAATGGATGCAGTACAAACTCTTAGCTTAAGTTTTGATTTAGATGAATCGTTTTCTTGGGGGGACTACTTGTTGACACACTTCAAAAGATCTAGAGCAATCAGTAGTGCTAGGGTGAAAAGGCGGTTTGGCTCTGTTCACAGACAACCCAAAAACCTGACACATGTCAGGAGCCAACCCTTTTACTCATTCCTCCAGTTTATGTATTGAATCTTTTAACTAAAATAAAAGGAGAAGAAAACCAAAAAAGAAAATGCACAGACAACCCAAAAACATGACACATGTCAGGAGCCAATCCTCTTACTCGTTCCTCCAATTTATGTATTGAATCTTTAAGCTAAAATAAAAGGAGAAGAAAACCAAAAAAGAAACTGCTGGAAAAGGGACAGGAAATTACCCATTTGCATATCTGATATTACCTTACCACAAAATAGGATCACTTTACAGTTTCTTTTCCTGGACCTAAAAAACAGCCACAACAAGGACCAAAAAGCATACATGATGAGAATGAAAATTATCATATTTTTATCCCTTAACATTTAGTCTTTTATACTTATTTAGTGCCTAATTGGACTCACTATTCTTATATTTCGATTTAGGGCACGAAAAGAGGCRTTAGGTGAAAAACAAGGCTAATCAGGTAATTTCGCACAATTTCGGCGCCGCGTGGTAATTTGGGCATAACTCTCTCATCCGAACTCCGATTGAGATGATTCAAGATGCATTGGAAAGATAAGGAAAAGCTCTACAACTTTCATGTTTTGAGTTTTTGATAGATACGGACTGCATCGAGGTCAAAATCGGGCCCGAAGTCTCTGCAACCACACTGGAAATCACGATATGGGCTGAAAGGAGCTTGCAGCAAAGCCCAGTTCGCTGAAGAAGCCCATCAGAATTCGGCTGAGTTGGAGGGGGCGGACTGTTTCCAACTCCTCTTAGGAGTTCCTTCTCAAAAATAGAAAGTCTTATATCCTAATGGGATAAAGCTTATCTGATCTAATCTTATCTCTTAGGAGTTCTTACAAAGATGAACTCAACTCTTTTCTCTCTTTAGGATTACAATAAGAAGCAGATCTGATTAAGACTCTTTGTGACTCATGCCTTCAATTCAGTCGAATTCTGATGGGCTTCTTCAGCGAACTGGGCTTTGTTGCAAGCTCTTTTCTTCCCAAATCGTGATTTCCAGTGTTGTTGCAGAGACTTCGGGCCCGATTTTGACCTCGATGCAGTCCGTATCTATCAAAACTCAAAACATGAAAGTTGTAGAGCTTTTCCTTATCTTTCCAACGCATCTTGAATCATTTCAGTCGGAGTTCGGATGGGAGAGTTATGCCCAAATTACTACGCGGCGCCGAAATGTGCAAAATTACCCGATTAGCCTTGTTTTTCACCTAACGCCTCTTTTCGCGCCCTAAATCGAAATATAAGAATAGTGAGTCCAATTAGGCACTAAATAAGTATAAAAGACTAAATGTTAAGAGATAAAAATATGATAATTTTCATTCTCATCAAATCCCTCCACACTTAGACCTTGCCCGTCCTCAGGCAAGACAGAACTTAAGCAAACTATTCTACCACATTTTAAACTCAACCTTCCTTCATCTTTTTCCACAAATATTCTAGGTTAACTATTGCAAACCGTTAAATCAACACAACCAAGTCATACACGACTCATCTATCAACCAATTCGATTTTTGCTACTACAAACCAGGTAGTAAACTAGGGAAACCATTTTTATCTTCACTCTCTCTTTTCTCTTCTTGGTGAAAGTGAGTGCATTTTATGCTCCATCTCACTTTTGGGATTACTTGGCCAATAGGTGCATTTTATGCTCCATCCTACTTTCAAATTGCTGATTTAGTAGGTGCATTTTATGCTCCATCCTACTTTTGCATTGCTGACTAGTAGGTGCATTTTATGCTCCATCCTACTAGGTTACCTCAATTGTATGGTAAAAATATTTACCCTATTTACTTAAACCTGAATTTAGGACTAGCTCAAAAGGAAATGGCTTCAGATAAGTCGTGGATTTCATCATCGCACCTCATTACTGGGTTCACAAGAATTTTCCCAGAATATTGTTTCAATTGATTTCAAGAGAGTTGAGTTTTTTTTTAGAACATATGCAGAAAAACACAACCTAAATCAAATTTTAAAGCGCAACCTAATTTCTAACCTAAATCCCCTGGTAATCCCTCCACACTTAAAACTTACATTGTCCCCAATGTAAGGTAAAATGCAAAGAAAATGTGGAAATAACTAAACTATAAATGCAAAAACAAGAAGAAAAAGAAAAAAAAAAAACAAACTTCCCTATTTTTAATCATCAAAAACCGGATCCTCAAATTTTTGTAGTTGCAACTTCCAGTGTTTTCCCCTTTTATCCATCATGGGTGGGTTCAGCCTTCTTTGAGGTTGACGGGAAGATTTCGCTCCCTCTTCAAGCAAGATGTGATGCATGCATGTAGACAGGTTGATTCCTTTGATATCCGCAATCGTCCAACCGATAGTCGTCTTATGCTCCTTGAGAATCTGCACAAGTTGCTCTTCTTGTGGTGCACTAAGGCTACTAGAGATGATCACCGGTAATGTCTCTCTGTCTCCAAGGAATACGTACTTGAGGTGACTAGGGAGAGGCTTCAATTCTATAACGGGGGCCTGCAAAACAGAGAGTAAAGGCTTCCTGTCAGAAATCGGCAACATACTATTAGGAGCATTACCTGATTGTTGTAACTCTGGAGAATCATCCAAGGCTACAACAGTTTCCTACAAATCAGCATTCAGCATTGGCTCCTCTTTCTCAAGATGTTTACTAATGGAAACTTCCAATCCATCCTTCCCATCAAGTTCAAAGACCTCCTGTGCCAAAGAATCAATTGCATCAACAAAACAGATAGGATTATCATCAGCAGGATATTTCATGGCATCGTAAATATTAAACTTAACAATTTCACCATCAAATTCCATGGTGAGTGTGCCATTATGAACATCTATCTTTGTCTTGGATGTCTTTAAGAATGGTCTCCCTAGCAAAATAAGAGTAGTTTGATCACCATTATTCATATCAAGCACATAAAAATCAGCAAGAAAAACCAAATCATTTACTTTTATAAGAACATCCTCAACTACACCCTTAGGATAGGCATTAGATCTATCAACCAATTGAATCACTACACCAGTCTTATTTAAAGGTCCAAGTTTCAAAGAAGCATTTATAGAATATGGCATGACATTGATAGAAGCTCCTAAGTCTAACATGGCCTTCTCAATTCTAGTGCTACCTATCGTGCAAGAGATAGTGAACATACCTGGATCTTTGCACTTTGTATGGAGTTTTTTAATGACTGCAGAAACATTCTCCCCTACTCTCACCTTCTCACATCCTTTCAGTTTCTGTTTCCTTTTATGTGTACACAATTCTTTCAGGAATTTAGCATAATGAGGTACTTGTTTAAGAGCATTAAAAAGTAGAATATTTGTCTCACATCTACGAAAAGTCTCATAAAAATCTTTATACTGTTCATCTTTTCTAGAACCTGCTAAAGCATTAGGAAAAGGAGGTACCGGTTTATAATCAGAAAGGGGCGGAAACTTATGCTTAGGTACTTCGTCATCATCGGGAATGATGTTTTTCTCCTTTTCTTGATTCGACGATGCAGGGGCTACCTTTGATGGAGTTTAAACCTCTTTATCACTTCTCAAAACGATTGCACTTACATTTTCTTTTGGATTCACAACCGTTCGAGAGGGTAATTTTCTCGAACTTTGCGCCTCTAACCGATTAATTGCAGTCGCCATCTGGCCCATCTGATTGTCCAAACGTTGGATATTGACCCTTGTCTCCTGTTGAAATTGCAAAGTGTTAGTGGCAAGAGAATTGACAATATCCTCTAAAGACATACCTGAATTAGAAGTTTGGGCTGGCTGTTGTCTAGGGGGGTGTGGCTGATATTGCTGGTAAGTCGGGCGGTTTTGTGGATTCCCATAGCTGAGATTGGGATGATCCCTCCATCCTGGATTATATGTGTTTGAATAGGGATCATATTTCCTATGCGGTTGCCCTGGAAAACCATCTGCTGCATTTACTTGCTCAATGGGCTCCTCTTGAAGAGTTGGGCACATATCAGTTGGATGCCCTACTACTGAACATATCCTACAAGCCTTTACCGCTTGCATGTTACCTACAGCCATTTAACGAATAAGAGAAGTCATACTTGCAATTTGTTGTTCTAGGGAAGAGATATTTACCTCATTAGCATGCTTTGATGGAGGGTTGAACTTATAGCCGAACTGTTGAGAGTTGGCCGCCGTATTTGCAATCAAATTTCTCGCGGCATCAGGAGTTTTATCTACTAAAGCTGCTCCACTAGCAACATCAATCATGCTCCTATCAGTGGGTTGAAGACCCTCATAGAAATACTAGATCAGTAGCTGCTCGCTGATTTGATGATGGGGGCAGCTTGCACATAATTTCTTAAAACGTTCCCAGTATTCATGTAGGGATTCCCCGTTGTACTACCTTACACTACAGATTTCCTTTCTGATGTTGGCCACCCTTGAAGCTGGGAAGTACTTCTCTAAGAATAGCCTCTTCATTTCGTTCCATGTAGTAACACTCCCGGAGGGTAGATAATAGAGTCAATCCTTAGTCGAATCCTTCAGAGAAAACGGAAAAGGCTCTCAATTTGATTTGTTCTTCAGTTACCCCCGTGGGTTTCATACTCGTGCATACCACATGCAGCTCCTTCAGATGCTTGTGAGGATCCTCACTTACAAGACCGTGAAAAGTGGGCAAGAGATTTATCAGTCCAGATTTCAATTCAAAATTAGCATCAGCATCTAAAGCAGGAAAAGTTATGCATAAGGGTTGTTGATTCAAATCAGGTGCAGCAAGCTCTTTCAAGGTTCGGTTTCCAGCCATGATGTCCTCTTCTCCAAATCAAAACCGTTAACAGATAAGGAATCAAGATCTGGATCGTTCTCTTTAGAATGACTCCGAACTTCCCTCCTTAACCTGCGCAAAGTCCCCTCTATTTCTGGATCGAACTGCAAATCACCTTTCTTAGAGAATCGAGTTATAGGCATAAATCAAGGAAACCCTAATAAACCATGAACGACATACCATAAAAATAAAAATAAAAAAAAAAATCTAGAATGAATGAATAAATCAATAAATAAGATAGAAAATACTCTATGCTAAAAAAAATTCAAGAAACTAAACAATGATCACAAAAAGCACAAAAACTGATTAGAAAAACTCCCCGGCAACGGCGCCAATACACCTCATCTTTCTCCTTGGATCTGAAAACCAACCGCCAGCACACTAGCTATGTCGTTGTTCCCCAAATATCTTGGAGAAGGTTATCCCTGTTGCACCGCCCAAAATATTGACAGTTGCAGTAAAAGCAGTGTTAGGGGTTACTTTTATGGCATTTCGGCAATTGTAAATACAACCTAAAATAAACTCACACTGTTCTGGAATTTCAATTAAGATTGGAGCATGAGAAAGAAATTACACAACTAATCATTTTTTTCTTACCATTTAGGTGTATATCTGTTGCCACTGTAATAATGGAAATTGAGGAAAAAGAGAGACTTCAAAAATAAGGGAAGAAGAAATGGGAAGAAGGCATTTCTTTCCAGTTTCTTCTTACTAGGAAATTAAAACATATTCCAGGTTAATGTATTTATCTTAAAAATTGCAATGGGTATAATAGGTGGAACAATTTCCTTTTACTGTGTCTCACTGTGCAATTGAGTTGTCCTATATCATCAATGAAAGATCTAATGTGGAGTGATAATATATAATTTTATGATGTGAAATACTGATGAACACAGTTTTGATAAATAACAGTTATAAATTCATGCTCTCAAAGTGACTTCCCCATCAGGGCTGCAAACTATATCTGCTTGTCCAAATTCAAATTTAAACCTAATCCAGTTAAGGATAATCTGTACTTGTTTAACTTATAAATGGATCTAACATGGATCCGCTCCTATTTAATCTGATAGTGTGTGTGTAATATGTTGTATGTCTACTATTTACTACAGATTCATAGGTTCGTCTCATAGAAACTATTCATGGTATACAATATAAAAGCTTTTTAATCTATTTATTAATAATATATAGTATTTTGATAACTTTTTTTTTACTTTACTAATGTTATTCAACATTCAAATTTGATCCAAATTCAATCCAATGGATAAGATTCAACCCCAATCTGAATATAGTTTAATCAAATTCGGATCTACTTATATCCTATTTGATCTAATCAGTTTGCAGCCTTATTCACCCCTGGGAGGGAGACAAAGTTCCTGGTCTGTCCCTAATTAAAACAGGCCCACTTTGTTAGTAACTGTACTTTTTTTGGTAATAAATAAAAAAGAATAATTATTAAACAAGAAAGAAGAAGGAAACAAGGAGGTGATAAGATATCACCCACACATAAAAAGAAACAGCAGCAACACCAAATCTCGCACCTCCAACACACCGACAAAAAAACAAAAGACAACAACTCAGAAAAAAGACAAAACAAACACCACAAGAAACACACTACTAATAACACCACAACAAATCAAACTTCACTAGATTCCACACCCCTTTATATTAACTGTACTTCCAACAGGAAGCTTCCATTATTGTGGTATTTGCTATGGACCAATTTGAAATCTCCCCTTTATAGTTCTTCAAATTACAAGTTTTCTTTTAGTAAGTAAAGAAAAGAAAAGATGCCCTATGTAACAAACATTTGATAGACTAAACACTTTTAGAATGCTAACTTTTTGTCGCTGATTTACAGATCAGCCAATCATCCACAGAGACATAAAAGCAGCAAACATTCTCATTACAGAGAAATTCAGGGCTAAAGTTGCAGACTTTGGATTTGCACGTTTATCTGCAGAAGATCCAGGAGTAACTCACATTTCCACACGAGTCAAAGGTTCTGCAGGCTACTTGGATCCTGAATACCTCAAAACATACCAATTAACTGAAAAGAGCGATGTATACTCCTTTGGTGTATTGCTTGTAGAACTAACGACAGGAAGGCACCCTATAGAAAGGAAAAGAGGGCCATCAGAGCGGATTACAGTAAAATGGGTAAGTACTTCAGGATAGCAATAAACTTAAGTATTATCTCTATTATATGTTTCTTTCTTTCTGTGATTCGATGGTACTAAAATATGAGAGTAGCCAACCCATTGTCATCCCAAGTTCATATTGCATTCAAGTGGATAATATCAATCTCTAGAAACGTAATCTATGATCTATCCCTACTAAGCTACTATAAAATAGGTTTTCTTTAATTCATTCAGACACAAGACAAGTGGCTGATGCATCAAAGCATTTATAAAAATAAGCCAAAATTATTAGATACATAAATTACATAAAACCAGATTACGAGAAGCACGAATAATATCATATAAGTAGAGAAGTTTCGACCAAAACATAATAGGAGAAGTATCTAATGCCAGTCAGATAGAAACACAATTTGCATACAGCTAATGGTACAAGTAGAGAAGTATGGAATCCACTGCTAACTCAGAGACAAGTTGAAAGAGTTTCGTATTCAAAAACTGACCAGATTCAATGTTGCAATCTTCGTGAAATAAGCAACCAACAATTCTGTGTATGCAGGTAATGCAGAAACTTAAGGAAGGAGATGCAGTGCTGGTGATGGATCCGAGACTGAGGAGGAGTCCGGCCACAAACCAGGCAGTGGAGAAGGTTCTCAAATTGGCCACGCAATGCATTGCGCCTTCGAGAGAGTCGAGACCATCCATGAAAAAATGTGCCGAAGTCCTATGGGAAATCCGGAGGGATTACAGAGAGGGTGGCGGCCTCTCTTCTTCTTCTTCCACTCCTCACCGTTATTCGAAGCAACATCTGGACAAGGACCCCAAGTTCTCAATGAAATCTTTTTAGGGTTTAAAGATCGTGATTCGTGAAAACGTTGAAGCTTCTTCTGAAATCTGAACGAGAGATAAATCTTTTGTTTTTTTTTTTTATTTTCTCTGTAATCCATTTTGTGATTTTTCTTCTCTTTATAGCGAGGTTGGCTGTAACAATTTAGGATGCTTGTGGTGTAAGTAATGAACGGTTCGATCTTATAGTGGAGGATTGTTATTGGGAAAAGATTTATCCATAAAAAAAGGGAAGGATCGACGGCTTGGGCTATCAACAGGGCTCTCCCGCTGAGGTTATCACAGTATCTATGTGCCCGTTCGGCGAGAGTTGAAGCTCAGCAGCTTCTGGCTTTTTGAGATGGATCCATACAGCTTGAGCTTGGGCTGTTCGTTTCAGCCTTTTTTAAACAGCTTATCCAGTGCACTCAAAGTCAAGGTTTTAAAAACCGGCTCGGAAATGAAACTGTTCTAGCTACCGGTTTTTTGGTTAGTGGTTCAACCATCCGGATCGAATGGTTCAGACGGTTTGTATATTAAGGCAAATGTTTATATGAGATTTGCCCTAATATGCATACCTCATATAAGAAAGAAGAGATGTCGGCGCCAGAAAGGAGAACTATTATTGGTTGTGAAAGAAAAACAGAAAGAAGAAGAAGGAAGGAGAGAAAGAGGGAAGAAGAAGGAAGAGGAGGAGGATGATTTGATGCTCACCGACAACGATAGCAGCGACGGTGAGGCAGCAGCAATAGATCAAGATCTAAGATCCAAGTTCTCGGATATCAAATCTGAGATCGATTTCCATAAAACACTTATTGTCTTCTTCTTCTTCTTCTTCTTCTTCTTCTTCTTCTTCTTCTTCTTCTTCTTCTTCTTCTTCTCTTTGTGCTAGATCCCATATCTGAGTTCATGTCTCGGACTAGATTTCATATCGAGTTCTCCTCTCTGCAACTTTATATTGAAAACCGCTAGTCGGGTCAAATGAGCCAACGGTTCGACCGCCTGGGTCAACGTTTTTTTCTAACAAAGTCAACGGTTTTTTTACCCAAGAACGAATTAGGAGTGAAACAGAACCGGCTGCTTGGACGGTTTCCGGGCCGAACAATCTGACTGTTTGGGTCAATGACGGCTCAAAAACATTGCTCAAAGTAATTGAACCAGCTTGGCAGAATGTCTAACTCAACCCTCTCAAAGGGGTATTATATAAGATGCTAAATGAACTAAATAATGCACCATGCAATGATAACTTAGTTGACAGTTCAAGCTGTCAAATATAAGACAGCCAAAGCTTTATCCTTAGACCAAAAAAAAGGGAAAATTCCTGATACTTTGGGCCTAGGGCCATTTTGGTCTCCGAACTTTAAAATGTGATTGATGTTGCGCAATTCGGCTGCTCCCAGCTGGAGGTGATATGGCTTCCAGTAGACAACGGGCTTAGGAAATCTGCAAGGAGTGAATCAGAGAACCGGGGGTGCTTACCCGGCGAGGTCGCTCCGATGCTTAAGTTAGTACTTGGTTGCGAGCTGATAGTAACTTAGAATGCAAGAGGGTTTGAGAGCAGAGATTACGCGTACCTTTCACCCTCGGGGGGTGGGGCCTTTATATAATGGAGTCCTCGCGGGTTTTGCGGAGTGGTTCTGGGATCCTCATTACGATGAGGTCCGTTTCCGCGTTAATTGGGGATAACGCTGCCAGCTGATAAGGTTTATCACTACTGCCCGAATCGGACGGGGGAGATAGTGCTAGCTGTAACGAGGCGTGATCCCGTAAGGCGTGGAATCTGGTGGCGAGATCTCCAGAGTTGCCATGCAATGGTCGGTCAATATTACCCAAGCTAGTGCCCTTTGAATCTGACCTGGTATGAATGCCGAAGTACCTTGGGACCGAGGTGGTCCTGATGCGATCGTGCCCCGAGGTGAACTTGTCTTGAGGTGGTTCAGTTATCTGAGATCGATCCATTGTGGACTTGGTGCATCAGAGTGACCTGCCACCCTGCAAGTTAGGTTGTGTCCATGTGCCCCCTATTACTAGGTCGGGCCGAATCACCCTACATCAATTGCCCCCACTCCCCGAGCCAGGGGTCCTGACCCGGTGCGGGGAGTTCATGATGAGCCAATTGGATTTGGTCCAAGGTCTGGGCAGCTAGTCAGAAGATTCACGGGTCGGACTTGTTCGGCCACCCGGCTCAACCAGGAAAACCCAGGCTGCGTCTGGCCTACGCGCAGACGTCACACGATCTATAAACTCCGCGAACGTCAAAAAATGCGCTAAACCAATTTTATCCTTGGGGGTCGCGCAGCCGGTTTTCCTAGGAGTCGTTGGATCACTTCGATCTCAACCGTTAGTTCTCGGACATAGCGGCTATAAATAGGGGGTCCGCGACTCATTTTTCTCGCCACAAATTAAGTGATTAAGCTCTCCCGTGGTCGCGTCGGAGTCTTTCAACTCGCTCTTCTTTTTGTTTTCCGAGGTCGTCCTTCTTTTCGGTGAATCTGTGTTTTCCTTCGTTTGTTTTTCCTTTGCCTTTTAATCATGTCTAGTTCTAGTGTAGACAGACTTTTAGGTAGTTCTAGTGAGGTTGAGGGTGTCGTGGTGCAATCCACGGCCCTTGCTGGGGAGGCCAGCTCGCCGCTGGGTGACTCCCCTCTTCAGTCTTTAGAGGAAACTTCTATTCCCGAAGTTGAGCCATCTCAGCTCGGGGAGACCGAGGTTCAAGAAGAGGGTCCGTCCTCTATAATGCCCCATCTTCTTCCCGGGTTCGGGATCCAGATGACTTTGGTCCTTCTACTCTAACTTCTGATAGGCTAATGTACCTAGTAGCTCGCTATCGTCTTCCTGATAGTTTGGTTTTTAGCCTTCCCTTAGGTCAATATCCTTGGGCTCATGATCACCATGAGCTCGCGGTCTTTGAGGAGCAGCTCGCAGTCGGGCTGCACTTCCCGCTTCACCCTTTCATTATAGAGGTAGTTAAGTTTTTTAACATTACCATCGACCAACTACACCCGAACTCTATTCAGAATATAGTTGGCACTATCTCTTTGTTCCACACATATAACCGGCCTCTGTCCCTAGATACCTTCAGCTCGATCTATGCGATCAAGCGAAATTCCGCCTGTCTGCGCGGGGATGCCAGACAGAGTTATTATATTTCACCTCGGCCTGGGTTCAAAGTCCTGTTCGGCTGCCCGAACAAGGTTCCAGCCTGGAAGAGGAGGTATTTTATAGTCTGAAATCCTGAGGGGTGGTCTTTTCCAACTCACTAGAGGGTGGCTATTAAGGATCCTGGGTGAGCTTGGATGCAGAAACTAGGGCAGTCATCAACTCGTGGAGGGACCTCGTCTTGAGATGAAAGATTTATTGGCCGAGGATAAGCTTGTGCGAGCTGGTCTGAGGCCTCCTGGTAGGTTTCCACCTTGGTTTTGTATTTTAAGGTTCTTTTTAGTTCGCGGCTAACCTTTTGCTCTTGCAGTTACCATGCCGGAGGTCGATGCCGAGAACCTTCTCAAGAGCTCTCAGAGAGGGAAGAAGAGGAAGGCTTCGAAGAAGCTTCGCCGGGAGGCCGGTCCTTCAGCCCCTGCCCCATCCGAACTCCTGGCCTTGGAGCCGACCTCTGCCAAGCTCCCCGAGGAGGAAGTTCGTCCTCGACCCCCCGTAGTGGACCTGGATGACGACCAGGAGGAGGATGCTCAACCTCATAAACCGGGGAGCACTTCTGTACCCGAGCAGGAAAGCGTCCAACCTCACAGGCCGGAGAGCACTTCAATACCGAGGTCCAGGTCCTCCAAGCAGAGCATAATGACTCTTCAGCTCGGAATGCGCAAGAGCAAGGACGCTCTTGACGAGGTCGTGGAGTGGGCTGACATGTTTACAACTAGACTTGTTCATGGGCCGGGTGGCCCGACGGGCCGGCCCGGCCCAACCCAACCCCCGGACGGGCTTGAACATGCTTATAGGCCCGCGGGCTTAAATTTGGGCCAAAAAGCCCGGCCCACAATAAATTCGAGCCGGGCTCGGTTTTGTCAAAATAGCCCGACCTAATATTAAACTTAAAATTAGTTATGTGATTATGTCCATTTGAATAAATTTTTTGATTTAAGAATGTAAAATTGTGTTTTAAAATATAAAAGAAAGGGAAAAATACCATCTTGTAGGCCCATTGTTCATTTAAATAAAAAAAATACTATCTGAATTTTTAATTCTAATTTTTCAATTAGGTCGGGCTTCGGGCTTCGGGCTCGGGCTCGGGTTTCGGGCTTTTTACCAGGGCCGGGCTCAGGCCCAAGTTATAGGCCCGTTGGTCGGGCCAGGCTCGGGCTCGGGCCTAGTATATTTTCATTAGTGACAGGTGAAAGTCCGGCCCGAGCTCGGCCCGGCCCATGAACAGGTCTATCTACAGCCATGCTCAAAAGCTGAGCTGTCGGGCTGCCGGTTATTGCATGGTGGTAAAAGTGATGCAGGATCTGCGGCTAGTACTGTTGGAACTGTTGGACCTGTTGCATTTGGACTTGAATAGCCCGCACGCAGTGTACCAAGACGTCGAGCTCATTCTGCCCAACTGCAAGGGGAATTACAGAGGGTTCAGCAAAGGTTGCACCCACCGTAGGAGGGAGTGGGGCATTCACCGGTGCTATGACCCGAGGCACATTCAGTGTTGGAATCCCATCTGCAGAGAGAGGCACACTGTCCGATACACACGGATGGGACTTGAGGTTGCCCTCCGGAGACGTTCATTTCAGCGTTCTGTCCGGCGTTACTGGAGGATGCCATGGATGCTTTTTTGAGGAAAAGGCTTCTTGTACCGATTCCCACAGACGGCGCCAAATGATGCTGCGCAATCCGACTGCTCCGAGCTGGAGGTGATCTGGATTCCAGTAGACAACGAACTCAGGAAATCTGCAAGGAGTGAATCAGAGAACCCGGGGGTGCTTACCCGGTGAGGTCGCTCCGATGCTTAAGTTAGTACTTGGTTGCGAGCTGATAGTAACTTAGAATGCAAGAGGGCTTGAGAGCAGAGACTACGCGTACCTTTCACCCCGGGGGGTGGAGCCTTTACATAACGGAGTCCTCGCGGGTTTTGCGGGATGGTTCCAGGACCCTCGTTACGGTGAGGTCCATTTCCGTGTTAATTGGGGATAACGCTGCCAGATGATAAGGTTTATCACTACCTTCCGAATCGGACGGGGGAGATAGTGCTAGCTGTAACGAGGCGTGATCCCGTAAGGCGTGGAATCT